TAGAGCATCTATAATTAGAAATGCATCATTTTCAAATGTTACATCTAAAGCATGCTTCTATTGTATGAAACAAGGTCACACTTCAAATAAGTGTAAAATTAAACATTTTGGTGTACCTAAAGGTAAATATATTTGGGTTCCTATAGTTAAATGAACTATTTGTATCTTGTATTTATTCAAAGAAAATGGATCATTTAGTATGTTTTAAACAGAATGCTTAGGTAAAAACATTTTATCTTTTCTACTTGCATAAAGGTTCTTCACTTATAGATTTTGCGAAATGCCTCTAAAATCGTTTTAAACAACTAAAAACAAAGTATTTTTACAAAAGCTTTCTTAAACATGTTTTTAAGCGATATAGTTTTGAAAGAACCGATTAAAATCACTTAGAGTGTTCAAAGAAATGTTTTTACAGTATTTAATCGATACAACTTAATTTTAATCGATTAAAATCATTTAGAACTCATTGTGATCGATCAGATTTTTATTATGAGCGGTCAGAATCTTTTAAATCGATTAAAAACATGTTTCAATCGATTAAAATCACTTAAAGGGTCAGGATGATCGATCAGAATCAAATTATAAGCGATCAGAATTTTTTTTTCAATCGATTAAAACACGTTTCAATCGATTAAAATCACTTAAAGGGTCAGGATGATCGATCAGAATGCAATTATGACCGATCAGAATCAGTTATGATCGATCAAAATTTAGTTATGACCGATCAGAACTCTTTTAATCGATTAAATCTCGTTTCAATCGATTAAAACAACTTAAAAATTTTTTTTCATTGCGTTTTAATCGATTAAAAGAAGTTTTAACAGATTAAAATTGCACTTTTAACAGATTAATAGAATCTTTTAACAGATTAATTAAACCAGCAGTTTTGAAAATCTTCTATAAAAACAGTTTGGCTTGAACTTTTTAAACACACATTGAATATAAGTTTTCACACATCCTTTAGCAATCAATCAAGCAACTGCGGTGCAAACACTTTGGAGATCAAGGATGTGCTACTTGTTGATGATATTATTGGATCAACTGATAGTTTGTTATGTGTAGAATTTGCTAAGATTATGCAGGGAGAGTTTGAAATGTCTATGATGGGAGAATTAACATTCTTCCTTGGACTTCAAATCAAGCAACTTAAAGATGGCACTTTCATCTCTCAAACTAAATACTGCAAGGAGATTCTCAAAAAGTTTGGTATGGACACCTCAAAGGAAGCTAACACACCCATGGGAACTTCATGCTATCTAGACAAGGATGAATCAGGTTTGGAAGTTAATCAAACTATGTATAGAGGTATGATAGGATCACTATTATACTTAACTGCAAGTAGACTCGATATTATGCATTACATGCGTGTGTGTGCTAGATTTCAGGCTTGTCCTAAAGAATCTCATCTAATTGCAGTAAAACATGTTTTAAAATACTTAAAAGGAACTATTTGGATTTGGCTTGTGGTATCCGATCGATGCTTGTATTAGTTTATTAGGATATTCGATGCTGATTATGGTGGATGTAAAATTGATAGGAAAAGCACTAGTGGGACATGTCATTTGTTAGGTTCATCCTTAATATCATGGCATTCTAAGAAACAAGCATGTGTAGCTTTATCTACCACTGAAGTTTGAATATATTGCAGTGGTAGTTGTTGTGCTCAAATTACGTGGATGAAACAACAGTTGGAGGATTATAGTATATATTTAAATGACATTACCCTTAATGTGTGATAATACGAGTGCAATTAATCTAACTAAGAATCCAGTAATGCACTCTAGGACTAAACATATTGAGATTAGACATCACTTTTAAGAGATCATATCAGAAAGGAAAGCGCAAAATAGAGTATGTAGACACTAAACGTCAATTAGTAGATATATTTACTAAGCCTCTACCCAAGGATAGATTCTATGATCTTAGAAGAGACTTAGGGATATTAGAAATAGATTAAAATCTGCTTAATTTGATCTGTTTCTGGATGATTGTTATGTTAAAATTCATGGTGGAGCATGTTCATAGGTTATTATGCATATAAATCTCAAAAACTTGATATAGCCTCCGGAATAATCGATTACTTGGAAGTAATAATCAATTATTTTCCCTCAACGTCCAAAACAGGGTATTCTCCTCCGGAATAATCGATTATTTCGTGAAATAATCGATTAAATGCCTCGAATAATCGATTATTTGCTAGAAATAATCGATTAAAGCTAATACGATATAGAGATAATCGATTATTTTGAGATATAATCGATTAAATGCAACCTGATCTTGCCTCTTAGCCGTTGCCAATGGATATTTTGCCATGGAATCTCTTCTATATGACCGTTGGAAGTGTTTACTCTATAAATAGAGACCTCTAGTTCAATTATACTCACTTCTAACTCTTGTAATCAAGTTTTCTTGCAATCTATACTCTCTTTGCTTCATTATTCCCTCACTTGTCTCCAAAATCTCTTCAAGTTTATCTACTCTTTCAAATGGCCTCATCCTCTCGCCCTAAGATTCCTACAAAAAGAAGATCTGCACCTTTCTCTCATTCCAGTCCTAATTCGTAGAAGGATGGATCTCGATGCGAGATGACCAACAAGAATTTCTAACCTACTTGGAAAGAAAAAGCTATTATTTCTCCCAAATTTCTTATTGGTGAGCAATTCATTCGTAGGGGTTTCAATTTTCCTAATCTTCTTGAAATTCAAGGAGTTCTCCCATTTATCCAAATGCAAGGTACTTACTATCCTGACTTTGTTAGGGTATTCTTTTCTAGATTTAAGTTTAGGGATCAAATTGATACATCCCGTGTCAAAGGAGTGACCATAATTCTAGATGATGATATTTGGGAAAATGTTGCTCACTTCCCAATTAGAGAAGATACTATTAACGTTTATGGTGAGCTAGATGATTTTGACGGGTTCCTAGCTTATAGATCTTTTCGCGGAATCCCTCCATGGAGATTGGACGTATTCTTCATGCTTGGACCCTTGAAGAAGGAAGAACGCATGATTCTTCATTTGCTTGTCTGGATTTTATGTCCCAGGGCCACAAATCATGCCCAATGCTCTTCTATTGATCTTCGCATTATTCATGCCATAATGAATAATGAACCTTTAGATTGGGGTGTTCTTGTCACAATGACAATGTTAAAGGCCAAACGTCATCCAACATTCAAAATTCCATATGCTCTTCTTGTATCCCGAATTCTTGAATATAAAGGAGTCAATGTCGAAGGTGAACAAGTTGTCCAGAACTACTAACTTGAACCGCATGCTTGGACAGACACTTTGATTCATCTACAAATGGTGCGGGTCAATGACATCTATGTTCATAAAGATGACGTCCAAAATCAAGGTGATGCAATTGAAGACTCGGATGAAGATATGCCTCCAGTGACTGAATTTCCCTCTACCCAAATCCAAAGTATAGGAACATCCTCTTCTCATCAAGAATCAAGACAATCCATGGAAGATATGCTTTCAGACATGAATCAAAGAATGCAATCATTCTTCAATCTTTACGGTGTACGACATGATGAAATTATTTGCAGTATATCCGATGTAGATGATAGAGTGGGTAGATTAGAAAATAAATTTGATACTCACTTTAATGATGAGGATAGTGAAGAATTTTAGATTTTATTAATATCTTTATATTGTAATGAATGAATGATTATGAAATAAAATTTGATGTTTCTTTCATGCTATGATTGAGGGGAGCTTTCTCTAACTTATGCATATTTTGAGGGGGAGCTCTTATGATTGATGTTGCAGAGTTCTTTTTGATTATAATCAAAATAGGGGGAGAAAAATTTAAAGCTTATGATTCAATTTTAAATTTTATCTTGTATGTTTAATGTGTTTGTTAGTATGACAGATAAAACAGGTTATTATAAGGGCTTTAAAAAAATAATTTTGATCATCATCAAAAAGGGGGAGATTGTTGAACATTCAAGGACTTGATGTTGCAAATAATGATCATGAAGAATGTTGATTTTGATGATGATCCAAGAACTTAAAGACTTAGAGTATTGAAGATTGAAGATTGATGATTTACGTATTGTAATAACTCTGTTTTAGTTTGATTGAGTCCGTAATTATAGAATCTAAGATAGCCGGTACATAGTTACGTAACTTAGAAGCTTTAAAAAAAGCTCAAATTTATCATTCAGGCTCGGCTTTAATCGATTATATAGGTAAATAATCGATTAAAACAGTGAGAAAACCACTTTCTATACAAAGTCACTGTTTTAATCGATTAAACAGCAAAATAATCGATTATTTCAGTCTTGTTCAGTCTGAGATAATCGATTATTTCACCAAATAATCGATTAATCCGAGAGGTTTGGGTTCTGTCGTATTTGGCTCTGTTTTAATCGATTATCACTCCAAATAATCGATTATTTCGATCTGTTTTTCATTTTAAATTTCAAATTAACCCTATTTTCGAAAACCCAATTACCAAGAACCCTAATTTCCCTACTTAAACTCTGCTTTGGCACTCGGAAAAAAAGAACAACTCTTTCCATACAAAAGTTAAGTGCTTGTGAGTGCCGAGAAGCTGTTTGTTGCAAGGAAAGGGGGCTTTTGGAACCTGGTGTGGGCTAGAAGCGATAAGAATCACTAAGTGGAGTTCTTAGTGGATTGTGTCTTGTCGTAGTCTCCGGGGAAAGTTGTTCTTCATCTCTTGTGGATTTCAAGAGAGGTGTTGTCTTTACTTTATCTCTTTGATTTGTAAACTGTTTGTAACAATTTGTTCTTAGTGACAGCGTTAATCCTCTTTTGAGTGATTAGCAACTGGACGTAGGGTCTTTTGATCCGAACCAGTATAAACCTACTGTGTAATCTTCTCTACTATTCTCTATTTACATTTACGCAGTTTTTAATCGGTAAAATTTGGGGAAAATTTTGAAAACCTAATTTTATTAAGAAACCAATTCACCCCCCCTCTTGGTTTTTGTCCGACCACGCGAACATTCCGCTGCGCGATTCTAACAAATCATGGATCTAGTATCATTCAGGTGTCTAGTAGCATTTAAGGGTCTAGGTAGTATTCAGGTGTCTAATAGCATTTAGCTGTCTAGTAAAATTTAGGGGTCTACTAGCAATCAAGTGTCTAGTAACATTCAGGTGTCTAATAGTATTCAAGTGTCTAGTAGAATTCAGGTGTCTAATAGCATTCATGTGTCTAGTAGCATTCAGAGGTCTAGTAACATTCAAGTGTCTAGTAAAATTCAGGTGTCTGTCTAGTAGCATTCATGTGTCTAATAGCATTCAGGTGTAGTAGCATTCAGGGGTAGTAACATTTGGGGGACTAATAACAATCAGGGATCTAGTATCATTCAGGGATCTGGTAGCATTCAATTGTTTAGTAGCATTCAGGTGTTAAGTAGCATTCAGTTGTCTAGTAGCATTCAGGTGTCTAGTAGCATTCAGGTGTCTAGTAACATTCAGGGGTGTAATAACATTCGGGGTCTAGTAGCATTCGGGGTCTAGTAGCATTCGGGGGCCTAGTAACAATCATGGGCCTAGTAGCAATCAAGGATCTAGTAGCAATTAGGGATCTAATAACATTCAGGTGTTAAGTAGCATTCAGGTGTTTGGTAGCATTTAGATGTCTAGTAGCATTCATGTGTCTAGAAACATTCAGGTGTCTAGTAGCATTCAATAGTAGCATGGAGGTATCTAATAACATTCACGTGTGCATTCAGGGGTCTAGTAGCATTCAGGGGTTTAGTAGCATTCAGGGGTTGAGTAACATTCAGGGGACAAGTAGCATTCAGGGGTCGAGTAGAATTTAGGGGTATAATAACATTCAGGGGTCTAGTAGCATTCAGGATTCTAGTAGCATTCAACGATCTAGTATCTTTCAGGGGTCTAGTAACATTTAATTGTCTAGAAGCATTAAGGTGTCTAGAAGCATTAAGGTGTCTAGTAGCATTCAAGTGTCTAGTAGCATTCAGGGGTAAAGTAGCATTCAAGGGTGAGTAGCATTAAGTGGTCTAATAGCATTAAGGGGTCTAATAACATTATGGGGTCTAATAACTTTCAGGGGTATATTAACATTAAGGGGTCTAGTAGCTTTCAGGGGTCTAGTGGCATTCAAAAGTCTAGTGGCATTCAGGAGTCTAGTAGCATTCAGGGGTCTAGTAGCATTCAGATGTCTAGTAGCTTTTAAGTGCCTAGTAACTTTCAAGTGCCTAGTAGCATTCAGGTGCTTAGTAGCATTCAGGTGTGTAGTAGCATTCAAGAGTCTATAGCATTCATGGGTCTTGTAACATTCAGGGGTCTAGTAGCATTTAGGTGTGTAGTAGCATTCAGGTGTATTGTAGCATTCAGGTGTATAGTAGCAATCAGGTGTCTAGTAGTATTCAAGTGTCTAATAGCACTCAGGTGTCCAGTAGAAGTCCCCAGTAGAATTCAGGTGTCTAGTAGCATTCAAGGGTCTAAAAGCATTAAAGGGTCTCGTAACATTCAGTTGTCTGGTAGCATTCAGGTGTCTAGTAGCATTCATATGTCTAGTAACATTCAGGGGTCTAGTAGCATTCAGGTGTCTAGTATCAACTATCTAGTAACATTCATGTGTCTAGTAACATTTAGGGATTAGTAGCATTCATGGGTATAATAGCATTCATGTGTCTAGTATCAACTGTCTAGTAACATTCAGGTGTCTAGTAGCATTCAGATGACTAGTAGGATTCAGGTGTCTAGTAGCATTGACGTGTCTAGTAGCATTGACGTGTCTAGTAGCATTGAGGTGTCTAGTAACATTCAGGTGTCTAGTAAGGGGTCTAGTATCATTCAGGGATCTAGTAACATTCAGGGGTCTAGAAGCATTCAAGGGTCTAGTATCATTCAAATTTCTAGTAGCATTCAGGGTTCTAGTAGCATTCAGGGGTCTACTAACATTCAGGGGTTTAGAAGAATTTAGCTGTCTAGTAGTATTCTAGTGTCTAGAAGCATTGAGGTATTTAGCAGCATTCAGGCACAATCAAGGGTCTAGTAGCAATTCCAAGGTCTAGTAGCATTGGGGGTCAAGTAGCATTCAGGTGTCTATTAGCATTCACACGCCTAGTAACATTTAGGTGTCTAGTAGCATTTAGGTATCTAGTATCATTCCTGAGTAACATTCAAATGTCTTATAACATTCACGTGTCTAGTAACATTAAGGGGTCTAGTAGCATTAAAGGGTCTAGTTGCATTCGGGGTTTTAGAAGCATTTAAGGGTTTAGAAGCATTCAAGGGTCTAGTAGCATTCAGGGGTCTAGTAGCATTCAGGGGTTTAGTAGCATTCAAGTGTCTAATAACATTCAGGTGTATAGTAGCATTAAGGGGTCTAGTAACATCCAGGGATCTAGTAGCATTCAGGGGTCGAGTAGTATTCATGGGTCGAGTTGCATTCATGGGTCTAATAACATTCAGGGGTCTAATAGCATACAGGGGTCTAGTAGCATTCGGGGATCTAGTGGCATTTGGGGATCTAGTAACATTCGAGGATCTAGTAGCATTTAGGGGTCTAGTAGCATTCAAGGGTCTAGTTGCATTCAGAGATCTAGTAACATTTAGGGGTCTAGTATCATTCAGGTGTCTAGTAGCATTCAGGGGTCTAGTATCATTCAATTGTCTAGTAGGATTCAGGTGTCTAGTAGCATTCAGGGGTCTAGCAGGATTCAAGGGTTTAGTAGCATTCAACGATCTAGTAACATTCAAGGGTCTAATAGCATTTAGGTGTCTAGTAGCATTTAGTTATCTAGTAGAATTCAATAGTTTAGTAGCATTGAGGGGTATATTAGCATTCAGATGTCTAATAACATTCAAGATTCTATTAGCATTGAGGGGTCTATTAGCATTGAGGGGTCTAGTAGCATTCAAGGGTCTAGTAACATTTACGTGTCTAGTAAGATTCAGGTGTCTAGTAGCATTCAGGAGTCTAGTAACATTCAGGTTTCTTGTAGCATTTAGGGGTCTAGTAGCATTTAGGGGTCTAGTAGCATTTAGTGGTCTAGTAGCATTCAGGGGTCTAGTAACATTCAGGGGTCTAATAACATTCAGGTGTCTAGGAGCATTCAGGTGTCTAGTACTATTCAAGTGTCTAGTAACATTCAGGTGTCTAGTAGCATTCATGGGTGTAGTAGCATTTAGTGGTCTAGTAGCATTCAAGGGTCTATTAACATTCAAGTGTCTAGTAGCATTTAGGTATTTTGTAGCATTCAGGTGTCTTGTACCGTTCAGGTTTCAAGTAGCATTCAGGTGTTTAGTAGCATTCAGGTATATAGTAGTATTCAGTTGTCTAGTAACATTCAGGTGTAGTAACATTAATGTGTCTAGTAGAATTCAAGTGTCTAGTAGCATTCAATTGTAACATTAAAGGGTTTAATAAAATTTAGGTGTCTAGTAGCATTCAAGGGTCTAGTAACATTCAAGGGTCTAGTAGTATTCAAGGGTGTAGTAACATTCAGGTCTCTAGTACTATTCAAGTGTCTAGTAACAGTCAGGTGTCTAGTAGCATTCATGTGTCTAATACTATTCAGGTGTCTAGTACCGTTTAGGTGTCAATTAACATTTAGGTGTCTAATAGGATTCGGTTGTCTGGTAGCATTCGATTGTCTAGTAGCATTCAATTGCCTAGTAACATTAATGTGTCTAGTAGAATTCAAGTGTCTAGTAGCATTCACTTGTAGCATTAAGGGGTTTAATAACATTCAAGTGTCTAGTAACATTCAAGGGTCTAGTAACATTAAAAGGTCTAGTAGCATTCAACGGTCTAGTAGCATTCAAGTGTCTAGTACTATACAAGTGTCTAGTAACATTCAGGTGTCTAGTAGCATTCAAGTGTCTATTACTATTCAGGTGTCTAGTATCGTTCAGGTGTCAAGTAACATTCAGGTGTTTAGTGGCATTCAGGTGTCTAGTAACATTCAGGTGTCTAGTAACATTCGATTGTCTAGTAGCATTCAGTTGTCTAATAGCATTCAGTTGCCTAGTAGCATTCCTTTGTAGCATTAAGGGGTTTCCTAGCATTCAGTGGTCTAGTAGCATTCAAGGGACTAATAAATTTCTAGGGTCTAGTATCATTCAGGGGTCTAGTAGCATTCAGGTGTCCAGTAACATTCAGGTGTCTAGTAGCATTCAGGTGTCTAGTACTATTCAGGTGTTATGTAGCATGTAGGTGTCTAGTAACATTCAATTGTCTAGTATCATTCAGGTGTCTAGTACTATTTAGGTGTCTAGTAGCATTCAGGTGTTATGTAGCATGTAGGTGTCTAGTAACATTCAGGTGTCTAGTAGAATTCAGGTGTCTAGTTGCATTAGTGAGTCGATTAACATTCAGGGGTCTAGTAGCATTGAGGTGTCTAATAGCATTCAGGGGTCTAGTAGCATTCAAAGGTCTAGTAGCATTCATGGGTCTAGTAGCATTCAGGGGTCTAGTAACATTCAGGGGTTTAGTAACATTCAGGGGTCTAGTAGCAGTAAAGGTTCGAGTAACATTCAGGGGTCTATTAACATTGAGGGGTGTAATAGCATTCAAGGGTCTAGTAGCTTTCAAGGGTCTAGTAACATTTAGGTGTATAGTAGCATTCATGTGTCTAATAGCATTCAGGAGTCTAGTAGCATTCAGGAGTCTAGTAGCATTAAGGTGTCTAATAACATTCATGTGTCTAGTAGTATTTAGGGGTCTAGTAGCATTCAGGGGTGTAGTAGCATTCACGGGTGTAGTAACATTGAGGTGTCTAGTAGCATTGAGGTGTCTATTAGCATTGAGAGGTCTATTAGCATTGAGGGGTCTAGTAGCATTATAGGGTTGAGTAGCATTCAGGAGCTTATTAGCATTGAGGGGTCTAGTAGCATTCAAGGGTTTAGTAACATTCACGTGTCTAGTAGCATTCATGTGTCTAGTATCATTCAGGTGTCTAGTACCATATAGGAGTGTAATAACATTCAGGTGTTTAGTAGTATTCAAGTTTCTTGTAACGTTCAGGTGTCTTGTAGCGTTCAGGTGTCAAGTAGCATTCATGTGTCTAGTAGCACTCAGGTGTCTAGTAGCTTTCATGTGTCTTGTAGCATTCAAGTGTCTAATAGAATTCAATGGTCTTGTAGCATTCAAATGTCTAGTAGCATTCAAGGGTCTAATAACATTTGAGGGTCTAGTAGCATTCAGTAGTAGCATTCATGGATCTCGTAGCATTTCGAATCTATTAGCATTCAGGAGTCTAGTAGCATTCAGGTGTCTAGTAGCATTTAGGTGTCGAGTATTATTCAGGTGTCTAATAACATTCAGGTGTCTAGTAACACTCAAGGGTCTAGTAGCATTCAGGGGTCTAGAATCATTCAGGGGTCTAGAAGTATTTAGGGGTCTAGTAACATTCAAATTTTTAGTAGCATTCAGAGGTCTCGTAACATTCAGTTTTCTAGTAGCATTAGGGTGTCTAATACTATTAAGGGGTCTAGTAGCATTCAGGGGTCTATTATCATTCAGGGGTCCAATAAGTAGCATTTAGGTGTCTAGTAGCATTAAAGAATCTAGTAGCATTTAGGTGTTAAGTAGCATTTAGGCGTCTAGTAGCATTCAGGTGCCTAGTATAATTAATGTGTCTAGTTATATTCAGGTGCCTAGTAGCATTCATGTGTCTAGTCGATTCAAATGTCTAGTAGCATTCAAGTGTTTAGTAGCAATTAGGTGTCTAGTAGCATTCAGGTGTTTAGTAGCATTCAGGGGTCTAGTAGTATTTCGGTGCATTTAGGTGTCTAGTAGCATTTAAGTGTCTAGTAGCATTCAGGTGTTTACTACCATTCAGGTGTGTAGTAGTATTCAAGTGTCTAGTAGCATTCAGGTGTATAGTAACATTCAGGTGTATAGTAGCATTCACTTGTAACATTCACGTGTCTAGTAGCATTCAGGTGTTTAATAGCATTCAGGTGTCTAATAACATTCAAGTGTTTTGTAACATTCAGGTGTATAGTAGCATTCAGGTATTTAGCAGCATTTAGGTGTATAGTAGTATTCAAGTGTCTAGTAGCATTCAGGTGTATAGTAGCATTAACTTGTAACATTCAGGGGTCTAGTAACATTTAGGGGTTTAGTAGCATTCAGGTGTCTAGTAGCATTCTGGTGTTCAGTAACATTCAGGTGTCTTGTAGCATTCAGGTGTGTAATACTATTCAGGTGTTTAATAGTATTTAGGTGTCTAGTAGCATTCAGGTGTCTAGTAGCATTCAGGTGTCTACTAACATTTAGGTTTCTACTAGCATTCAGGTGTCTAGTAGCAATTAGGCATCTAGTAGCATTCAAAGGACTAGTAACATTCGGGGGACTAGTAGCATTCATGGGTCAAGTAGCATTCTAGGGTCTAATAATATTCAGGGGTCTAAAAATATTCAGAGGTCTAGTAGCATTATGCGGTCTAGAAGCATTCAGGTGTCTAGAAGCATTAAGGGGTCCAATAACATCCAGGTGTCTATTGGCATTCAAGTGTCTAGTAGCATTCAGGTGTCTAGTAGTATTCAAAGGTCGAGTAGCATTCAAGGGTCTAGTAGCATTGAGAGGTCAAGTAACATCCAGGTGTCTAGTAGCATTGAGGGGTCTAGTAACATTCAGGTGTCTAGTAGCATTAGAGGGTCGAGTAACATTTAGGGGTCTAGTACCATTCAGGTATCTAGTAGCATTGAGGGGTCTATTAGAATTGATGGGTCTAGTAGCATTCAAGGGTCGAGAAACATTGAGGGGTCTATGAGCATTAAGGAGTCAAAAAGCCTTCAAAGGTCTAGTACATTCACGTGTCTAGTAGCATTCAGGTGTCTAGTAGCATTCAAGAGTCTAGTAGAATTCAAGTGTATACTAGCATTTAGGAGTCTAGTAGCATTAAGGTGTCTAGTAGCATTAACATGTCTCATAGCATCAAGGTGTCTAGTACTATTCAGGTTTCTAGTAGCATTCAGGTGTCAAGTAGCGTTCAGGTGTTTAGTAGCATTCAGGGGGTCTAGTAGCATTTAGGTGTCTAGTAGCATTCCGATGTCTAATAGGATTCAGGTGTCTAGTAGCATTCAGGGGTCTTGTAGCATTCATGGTAGCATTCAAGTGTCTAGTAGCAATCAAAGGTCGAGTAACATTCAGGATTTTAGTAGCATTGAGAGGTCTATTAGCATTGAGGGGTCTATTAACATTGAGGGCTCTCATAGCATTGAGGGTTCTAGTAACATTCAGGTGTCTAGTAACATTCAAGGGTTAAGTAATATTCAGGTGTCTAGTAGCATTCAGATGTGTAGTAGCATTTTAGTGTCTAGTAGCATTCAAGTGTCTAGTAGCATTCAGGGGTCTAGTAGCATTTGTGGGTCTAGTAGCATTCGTGGGTGTAGTAGCATTCAAGGGTCGAATAACATTCATGAGTCTAGTAGAATAGAGGTTTAGTAGCATTCAAGTGTCTAGCATTGAGGGGTCTGTTAGCATTGAGGAGTCTTGTAGCATTCAGGGGTCTAATAACATTCAGGTGTCTAGTAGCATTTAGGTATCTAGTAGCATTCAAGTGTCTAGTAGCATTCAGTTGTCTAGTGGCGTTCAGATGTCTAGTAGCATTTAAGGGTCTTGTAATATTCAGTAGTAGAGTTCATGGGTCTAGTAGCATTTGGGGTCTAGTAGATTCAGGGGTCTTATAGTATTCAGGGGTCTAGTAACATTCAGTTGTCTAGTAGCATTCAGGTGTCAAGTAAGATTCATGTGTCTAGTAACATTCTGGTGTCTAGTATTATTCAGGTGTTAAGTAGCATTCAGGGGTCTAGTAGCATTCAAGGGTCTAGTAACATTCAGGGGTCTAGTAGCATTTAGGGGTCTAGTAACATTCAGGTTTTTAGTAGCATTCAGAGGTCTCGTAGCATTAAGTTTTGTAGTAGCATTCAGGTGTCTAGTAGCATTAGGGTGTCTAGTACTATTCAGGGGTCTAGTAGTATTTAGGGGTCTAATAACATTCAGGGGTCTAGTAGTATTTAGGGGTCTAATAGCATTCAGGGGTCTAGTAAGTAGTATTTAGGTGTCTAGTAGCATTCAGGAGTCTAGTAGCATTCAGGTGTTAAGTAGCATTTAGGCGTCTAGCGGCATTCCTGTGTGTAGTATAATTAATGTGTCTAGTTGCATTAAGGTGTCTAGTAACATTCATCTGTCTAGTCGAATTCAAATGTCTAGTAGCATTCAGGTGTCTAGTAGCATTCCAGTGTCTAATAGCATTCAGGAGTCTAGTAGCATTTCGGTGCATTTAAGTGTCTAGTAGCATTCAGGGGTCTAGTAGCTTTCAGGTATCTAGTAACATTCAGGAGTCTAGTATCATTCAGGTGTCTAGTAGCATTCAAGGGTCGAGTAACATTTAGGGGGTCTATTAGCATTGAGGGGTGTAATAACATTCAACGGTCTAGTAGCATTTAGGTGTCTAGTAGCATTCAGTAGTCTAGCAACATTCAAGAGTCTAGTAACATTCAGGTCTCTAGTAGCATTCAGGTGTCTAGTATCATTCACGGGTCTAGTAGCATTCAGGGGTCGAGTAGTATTTAGGTGTCTAGTAGCATTAAGGTGTCTAGTAGCATTGAGGGGTCTATTAACATTGAGGGGTCTAGTAGCGTTCTAGGGTCGAGTAGCATTCAAGAGTCTATTGGCATTGAGGGGTCTAGTAGTATTCTAGGGTCTAGTAGCATTCACATGTCTAGTAGCATTTACGTGTCTAGTAACATTTAGGTGTCTCGTAACATGCAGGTGTCTAGTAGCATTGAAGGGTCTATTAGCATTGAGGGGTCTAGTAGCATTCAGGTGTCTAGTAGCGTTCTAGGGTTGAGTAGCATTCAGGAGTCTATTGGCATTGAGAGGTCTAGTAGAATTCTAGGGTCTAGTAGCATTTACGTGTCTAGTAGCATTCATGTGTCTAGTAGCATTCAGGTGTCTAGTACCATTTAGGTGTCTAGTAGCATTCAGGGGTCTAGTAGCTTTCTGGTGTCTAGTAACATTCAGGGGTCTAATAACATTCAGGTGTTTAGTAGCATTCAAGGGTCTAGTAACATTTAGGTGTCTAGTAGCATTCAAGTGTTTAGTAGCATTTAGTAGTCTAGCAACATTCAGGAGTCCAGTAACATTCAGGTGTCTAGTGATTATAGAGATGATGGAGATTATGTTTTTATGCTATTTATTCATTGTGGTATTTAAATAACTATCTACATGATTCTAATATCTAATGTACGCAAAGGAAAGTAGTAAAGGAAATCGATAAAAGAGAGAATAGAGAAAAGAATCTCCGAAACAAGCTTTTTATAAATTCTTCAAACTTGGGGACGCTTTTTGGCAGTCCCCTCGCTCTATAATGTCGTTCTTTCCTCCAATGGAAAAGAAAACTTAACTCACGAGTGTCTGAAAGATCACTCAAACTCCAGAATAATGTTTAGAGTCACCTAGAGGTCTTAGAATGCCTTCTAGGGTGAGAGAAGAGTGTGAGAGTGTGTGGAAATGAGGTCCTATTTATAGGGAAACGTGTAAGGAAGACTGGATGATCACCTTGTCCATATGACAGCCGTCCATGAATCAAAATGGGCATGGACGACTGTCAGGTTAACATGGACGGCCGTCCATGGCTTAAAATAAGCATGGATGACCATCCATGGCTTTAATATAAGAATGGAGGGTCGTCTGGTCAGCCTGGACGACCGTCCACTTCCTTCTGACGCATCTCTAATTTTTTATTTTCTAAAAACCCTCCTTTTCTTAAACGGAGCCTAGAAAATGCTACTAGGGGCTTAATGAAACCTTATCCATCTTCAAAATGGAGGATTTCTGAGAACTATTATTTGACCGGGCAAGATTTGGGGTCTATAGTAGCATTCAAGGGTTTAGTAGCATTCAGGGGTCTAGTAGAATTCGGGTGTCTAGTAGCATTCAGGTGTAGTAGAATTTAGGTGTCTAGTGACATTCATGTGTCTAGTAGCATTCACTAGTAGCTTTCAAGGGTCTAGTAAAATTCAGGTGTCTAGTAGCATTCAAGGGTCAAGTAACGTTCAAGTGTTTAGTAGTGTTTAGGTGTCTAGTAACATTCAAGTGTCTAGTAGCGTTCAAATGTCTAGAAGCATTCAAGTGTCTGGTAGCATTCAGGTGTCTGGTAGCATTCAGGTGTCTGGTAGCATTCATGTGTCTAGCAGCATTCAGATGTCTTGTAGGATTCAGGTGTCTAGTAGCATTCAAGGGTCTAGTAACATTCAAGTGTCTAGTAGTATTCAGGTGTCTAGTAACATTCGGGTGCATTCAAGTGTCTAGGTGCATATAGGTGTCTAGTAGCATTCAGGTATCTAGTAGTGTTTACGTGTCTAGTACCATTCAGATGTCTAGTAGCAATCAGGTGTCTTGTAGCGTTTAGGTGTCTAGTAGCATTAGGTGTTTAGTAGCATTGATGTGTCTAATAACATTAAGATGTCTAGTGGTAGGTTTATAGTAGCTGTCAGTTATCTAGTAGTATTCAAGTGTCTAATAGTATTTAGGTGTCTAGTAGCGTTCAGGTGTCTAGTAGCATTCAGGTGTCTAGCAGCATTCAGGTGTCTAGTAACATTTAGGTGTCTAGTAGCGTTTAAGTGTCTAGTAACACTCAGGTGTCTAGTAGCATTCAAGTTCCTAATAGCATTCAGGTGTCTAGTTACATTCAGGTGTCTAATAGCGTTCAGCTGTCTAGTAGCATTGAGGTGTCTCGTAGCATTCAGGTCTCTTGTTGCAATTATGGGTCTAGTAGAATTCAGGTGTCTAGTAGCATTCAGGTTTCTAGTAACATTCTGGGGTCTAGTAGCATTTAGGTGTCTGGTAGCATTCACGGGTCCAAGTGTCTAGTAGCATTCACGTGTCTTGTAGCATTCAGGTGTCTAGTACTATTCAGGTGTCTAGTAACATTCAGGTGTCTAGCAGTATTCAAGTGTCTAGTAGCATTCATGTGTGTAGGTGTATTCAGGTGTCTAGAAAGATTCAGGTATCTAGTAGTATTTAGGTGTCTTATAACGTTTAGGTGTTTAATAGCATTTAGGTTTCTAGTAGCATTCAGGTGTCTTGTAGCATTCAAGTGTCTAGTAGCATTCAGGTGTTTAGTAGCATTCAGTTGCATTTAGGTGTCTGGTAGCATTTAGGTGTCTGGTAGCATTTAGGTGCTGGTAGCATTTAGGTGAATTAAGGTGTTCAGTAACATTTAGGTGTCTAATAGTGTTTAGGTGTCTAGTTGCATTCAGTTGTCCAGTAACATTCAGGTGTTTAGTAGTGTTCAAGTATCTAGTAGCATTCAGGTGTCTGGTAGCATTTAGGTGTCTAGTAACATTTAGGTGTCTAGTAGCATTCAAGGGTCTGATAGCATTCAAGTGGCTAGTATCATTTAGGTGTCTAGAACATTCAAGTGTCTAGTAGCATTCAGGTGTCCAGTAGCATTCATAGTAACGTTTGAGGGTCTAATAACATTCAAGGGTCTAGTAGCATTGATAAGGCTAGTAACATTCAAGGGTCTACTAGCATTCATGGGTCTAATGGCATTCAGGTGTATAGTAACATTTAGGTGTCTTGTAACATTCAGGTGTCTAGTAACATTCAGGAGTCTAGTTGCATTCAGGAGTCTAGTAGCATTCAGGGGTCTAGTATCATTCAGGGATCGAGTAGCGTTCAAAGGTCTAGTAGCATTCAAGGGTCTAGTAGTATTCAAGGGTTTAGTATCATTCAGGTGTTTAGTAGCATTCAGGTGTCTAATAACATTAAGTGACCTAGTAGCATTCCGGTGTCTAGTAGCATTCAAGTGTCTAGTAGCATTCAGGTGTTTAGTAGCATTCAAGTGTCTAATAGCATTCAAGTGTCTGGTAGCATTTGTAACATTCAGATGTCTTGTAGCATTCAGGTGCATTTAGGTGTCTAGTAGCATTCGAGGGTCTAATAACATTTAGGTGTCTAGTAGCATTCAGGTGTCTAGTAACATTTAGGTGCATTTAGGTGTGTAGTAACATTCAGGGGTCTAGTAGCATTCAGGGGTCTAGTAGCATTAATAGGTCTAGTAGCATTAAAGGTCTAGTAACATTTAGGGGTCTAGTAGGATTAACAGGTCTAGTAACATTCAGGCGTCTTGTAACATTCAAGTGTCTAATAGCATTCAGGTGCCTAGTAGCGTTCAGGTGTCTAGTAACATTCAGGGGTCTAGTAGCATTCAGATGTCTAGTAGCATTTAAGTGTCTTGTAGTATTTAGGTGTTTGGTAGCATTCAAGTGTTTAGTAGCATTCAGGTGTCTAATAACATTCAAGTGCATTTAAGTGTCTAGTAGCATTCAGGGGTCTAATAGCATTCAGGTGTCTAGTAACATTCAGGTGTCTAGTAGCATTCAAGTGTCTAGTAGCAATCAAGTGTCTAGTAACATTCAGCTGTCTAGTAGCATTTAGGTGTCTAGTAGCATTCAGCTGTCTAGTAGCATTTAGGTGTCTAGTAGCGTTCAGGTGTCTAGTAGCGTTCAGGTATCTAGTAACGTTTACGTGCCTAGTAACATTTAGGTGTTTAGTAGCATTCAGGTGTCTAATAGCATTCAGGTGTCTAGTAGCATTCAGGGGTCTAGTAGCATTCAAGGGTCTAGTACCATTCAGGTGTCTGGTAGCATTCAAATCTAGTAGTATTCCAATAAATAAGGCTTCTTATAAGTCGTTTGAATAAAGTACTATCAACTTCTGCCCCTTTATCTATTTTCAACAATTTAATATCTTGAACAATAGGATTCTTAACTAAATTCTTCTGTCCAATAAAAGTTTTGTCACAGCTTTGCAAAATTTCAATGCCCATAAAGTATCTCATCTTTCCTATGTCAGTCATAGCAAACTCATTCATCATCATACTTTTAAACTCTATAATCATTGATTCATGACTTATAATCATGTGTATTTACTTGTAATAACTCTGTTTTATGTTTTTGAGTCTGTATAATTAGAGTACACGATAGTCAACACATAGTCCATCATCTGAAAACTCATTTTTATCAAATCGACTTTGTGATAATCGATTATCACTTACGATAATCTATTATCCTGCACTGAAAATTGTTTTTCTGAAAACCTTGCTATGATAATCGATTATCACTCAGGATAATCGATTATCCCAGCTACATAATGAATTATTTACACAGATAATCGATTATCTTGGTCCCATTTTACTCCTCTACAAAAATGGCTCTGTAATAATCTACGTCTGTTATGAGTTTTGAAATTCAAATTTGGACCAATTTACGAAAACCCTATTCCTAATTCTTCTATTTTCGAAAATCATTATTTCCCAGACCTTATTCTCTCTACTTAAGGTTCTCTAAGGCTCTCTGCAAAACAACAATCTTTTTTCATACAAAAGTTAAGAGTTGTGATTGCTAGAGGACTTTCTGTAGGGAAGAAAAAGAGGTTTTTGAAAACCTAGTGTGGGCTAGAAGCGATAAGAATCACTGAGTGAGTTTCTTGGTGGATTGTGTGTTGTGTCGTCTCTAGGAAAATATGTTGTTTATCATTTGTGGATTCAAAGGCGGTGTTCATCTCTTGTGTGACTCAAGAGAGGTGTTTTCTAATCCTTATCTTTTTCAATTTGTATTCTGTTGTAACTTGTGATTATAGTGACAACGTTAATCATCTTTTAGTGTGATTAACAACTGGACGTAGGGTCTTTTGATCCGAACCAGTATAAATCAACTGTGTAATCTTCTTTCCCTTATCTCTTTACATTACAAGCATTTTAATTGGTAAAATTTGGGGAAAATTTTTAAAACCCTAATTTTTTTTAAGAAACCAATTCACCCCCCTCTTGGTTTTTGTCCCTAAACGCGAACATTCCGCTGCGCGATTCTAACAACTGGTATCAGAGATTGCTTTGATAGTCATTCAAATTTTAAAAATGGCCAGACAAAACCAAACCTTTGCCGACAGTGCTTCTATTAACAGACTCCCACTTTTTGCAGGACAAAATGATCCCTTTTGAAAGTTAGAATGCAAATATTTTTGGAGTCTGTTGACAGGGGTGTTTAGGATGCTATTGTAAAAGGTCCTTTTATTCCCAAAGTTATTGTAAATGGAGCCAAAATCATTTTCTAGATGGACGACTGAAGTGTTAGAAATGTAGGCTGAGATCAAGAGGGGGGGTGAATTGATCTTTGAAAGATTTTCGCAATTTACAGATTATCTATTTCAAAGATTAAGAATTCTGACCAGTTCTTGAATCACACACAGCAAGCAATCAAAATAAAGGCAGTGACTGAATTAAATGAGAGAAAGGTTTAGAAAGATACAACCAAGATTTATACTGGTTCACCCAATCCCAGGGCTACATCCAATTTCCGGCCAAATTCCAGTTGGTTTCCACTAGATTGAATGTTTTACAAATTATAACTTTAATCTCACACTCAATCTACCACAAGAACCAAAATTCCAGTCCCTGCACCTAAACCTTCACCAAGAACCAAATTCCAGTTCTTGAACAACCCTGCAGCCAAATTCCAGCGACAGAAACCAGGGCCCACAATTCTAGGCACCCACAATACAGTAAAGAAAGTAAAGAAACAAATAGAAGAAACTAGAACGCTCAAACTAGATTTATGCAGCTTTGTAGTATGAGTTTCTTCTCCAAAAGAATGCAAATTTTGCCTCAAGAAAGAACTTCTATGAGCTTCACAAAACTAGCGCGATTCTCTATTGAAAGTAGCACTTATGATTGCTTGATTGATTGCTAAAAGATGTATTTTAAAAAGTTCAAGCAACTCTGTTTATATAGAAGATTTTCAAAACTGCTGGTTTATTTAATCTGTTAAAATAATCTTTTAATCTGTTAAAAAGTTCTTGATTATTTTCTAGATTTGTTTTAACTGATACGACACCGTTTATATCAATTAAAACTCTTTGTAAAAAATCTTCCAAACTGTTTTAATCGATTGTTTCGTCTTTCAATCGATTTAAATACTGCAAAACATTCTTATAAACTTTTCTAAGTGATTTTAACTAATAACAATATGTTTTAATCGATTAAAACACTTTGAAAAAAGTTCACTTAGAAATATAATTTCATCTACTTTAACCCTTGATGAGTTTTACAGGATATCTGTTTGCAAGAGTGCTCAAGAAATGTGAGAAATGTTAAGAGTAACCCATGAAGGTACCAATGATGTAAAAAGAGCACAGAAGAACTCATTAATTCAAGAGTATGAGATGTTCTGAATGCAACAAGGAGAAACGATTTTTGACATTCAAAAACGTTTCACACATATTGTGAATCATCTCACCGGGCTTGGTAAGATTTTTGATACTGATGAATTAAATGTGAAAATTCTTAAATCTTTGGATAGGAAATGACAACCAAAGGTGATAACCATCACAGAGTCACAAAATCTTACTACCATGACTATGACGACTCTCTTTGGAAAGTTGAGAGAGCATGAACTTGAACTTGGAAGGCTAAACGATGAAGAAGGCCAACATCAAAAGAGAAACCTTGCCTTCAAAATTGAAATTTCAAAGAGTAAAAACAAGAAGGAGGAAGAAGACTCTGAAAATGAAGAAGATGAAAACTTGAGTCTTATGATTAAGAAATTTACAAAGTTCATGAAAGCTAAAGGGAAGCAACCTTTCAAAGGTAAGGGAAAGGTAAAAGAAATTTCTTCTTTAAATTTCAAATGTTATGGTTGTGGTGAAACAGGACATGTGAAATCCGATTGTCCAAACAGGAAAAGTGATGATTATAAAGGCAATAAATTTTTCAAAAAGAAAACTTATATAGCTTGGGATGATAGTGGATCAAGTTCGGAATCAAGCGATTTGGAGGTTGAAGCAAATCTTTGCTTGATGGCAAATGATAATATTTCTTTCGATTGTGAGGTAAGTGATTCCGACTGTTCTTCAAATAATGATAATGACTATGATGCTTTGTATAATGCATATCAAGAATTATTTGCTGCTTTTAAAGATTTGAAAACTGAATATAAATCTTTGAAAAAGAATTTGAATAAATCGGAAAAAGAAGTAGAATCTTTAAAATAAAAAATAGTGACTTTAGAGGAAAATGAAAATAGACAAATAGCTTGTGCATCATGTAAAGAATATGAACATGAAAGTGACATACTTAGACACTTACTTGATAAAGCTAAGAAAGAATTAAGTAACAATAGTAAGAATGAAGCTATTGTGCAATCTCAATTAAAATGTCATGTTCCATAAAAAATGCCTAAAAGTAGAACCCGAAGGGTATGGATTGAAAAATGATCTAAATCTTCTCAAAATAAAGTTGTATCTTTTTCGAGAATTAAATCTAAGACATGCTTCTATTGTATGAAACATGGACATACATCTAATAAGCATTTTGGTGTTCCAAAAGGAAAACATGTTTGAGTTCCTATAGTTAAATAATTTGCTTGTCTCTAACCCCAAGGACCCAAAAGTTATGGGGACCTAAGATTATTATGTTCTTGTTTTGTAGGCATCTACTAGATCCAAAAATTCTATGTGGTATCTTGATAGAGGTTGTTCAAGACACATGACTGGGGATAAAAAGAAATTTACAAGTTGCAAAAAGAAAGAACAAAGATATGTGACCTATGGGGACAACAACAAAGGAAGAATCCTTGGAACTGAAAATATTGGTAATGCAAATACTTTGGAAATAAAGGATGTGCTCCTTGTTGATGGGCTAAAGTACAATCTCCTAGGTATAAGTCAACTTTGTGCTAAAGGATTTAAAGTAATATTTGAAAGTAAGTTTTGCACTATTCATTTAAAGGAATATGAAAATATAACATTAAAAGGTATTAGGCATAATAATATTTATTTAATTGACTTGGATTGTGTATCTAATATGAATATAACATGTTTAGTTGCTAAGGAAGAAAATCCATGGTTATGGCA